CTCCCCCCCCCCCCTCACCTGTTCCACATTCTTGCCCACACCTTGCGTGGCCGGGCCGGACGATAAGTAGCTGGGACGGGGCGAGAGATAAGTAGCGGGCCCGGGAGATAAATAGCAGGGCCGGGGCAGGAGATAATTACCGGGGCCGGGGCGGGAGATAAGTAGCGGGGCCGGGAGATAAGTAGCAGGGCCGGGGTGGGAGATAAGTAGCGGGGCCGGGAGATAAGTAGCAGGGCCGGGGCAGGAGATAATTACCGGGGCCGGGGCGGGAGATAAGTAGCGGGGCCGGGAGATAAGTAGCAGGGCCGGGGCAGGAGATAATTACCGGGGCCGGGGCGGGAGATAAGTAGCTGGGACGGGGCGAGAGATAAGTACTGGGGCCGGGAGATAAGTAGCAGGGCCGGGAGATAAGTAGCTGGGCTGGGAGATAAGTAGCGGGGTCGGACCGGGAGATAAGTAGCGGGGCCGGGAGATAAGTAGCGAGGCCGGGCCGGGAGATAAGTAGCGGGGCTGGAGATAAGCAGCGGGGCCGGGGCGAGAGATAAGTAGCAGGCCGGGAATTAAGTAGCGGGGCCGGGAGATAAGTAGCGGGGCAGGGAGATAAGTAGTGGGGCCGGGAGATAAGTAGTGGGGCCGGGAGATAAGTAGCGGGGCCGGGAGATAAGTAGCGGGGCAGGGAGATAAGTAGCGGGGCAGGGAGATAAGTAGCGGGGCCCTGAGATAAGTAGCGGGGCCGGGCCGGAGATAAGTAGCGGGCGGGGAGATAAGTAGCGGGGCCGGGCCGGAGATAAGTAGCGGGGCGGGGAGATAAGTAGCGGGGCGGGGAGATAAGTAGCGGGGCCTGGAGATAAGTAGCGGGGCCGGGAGATAAGTAGCGGGGCCGGGAGATAAGTAGCGGGGCCGAGAAATAAGTAGCGTTGCCGGGGCTGGGAGATAAGTAGCGGGGCCGGGCCGGGAGATAAGTAGCGGGGCCGGGTTATCAGTAGTGGAGCCGGGCCGGGAGATAAGTAGCGGGGCCGGGCCGGGAGATAAGTAGCGGGGCCGGGCCAGGAGATAAGTAGCGGGGCCGGGCCAGGAGATAAGTAGCGGGGCCGGGAGATCAGTAGCGGGGCCGGGCCAGGAGATAAGTAGCGGGGCCGGGCCGGGAGATAAGTAGCGGGGCCGGGCCGGGAGATAAGTAGCAGGGCCGGGCCAGGAGATAAGTAGCGGGGCCGGGCCGGGAGATAAGTAGCGGGGCCGGGCCGGGAGATAAGTAGCGGGGCCGGGCCGGGAGATAAGTAGCGGGGCCGGGACAAACGGTGAGGGTGGCTGGGGGCGGGAGTGGCTCCAGTCTGTCGGGCGCCAGTGTCTGCGTCTTGTCGTGGTCCCTCGCCCTACTGGTCCGCCACACTCACTCACACAACACAAACATATTTGAACGCACGCATGCGCGCACACACGCACACGCACACAGACGCAGACACAATATCAACTCCTTCGAGCCCTCCTCTACTCTTCACTACCATTCTAGCTCATAATCAGCACACTAACCCCCCATTTACCAATCCTTTGACTCCAGGTTTCCCCTTTGCTTTTCACTCCCTTGACCGCATCTGACCCTGTTCTGCTCTACTCGCATTCTATGCCATTCCTTCCCTGCCCCTTACCCCCCGTCCCTCCCTGCCCCTCGCCCCCTCTCTGCACATCTCTGGTCCTCCTCTTCTCTCAGCACATATCTGCCCCCCAAATTCATACAAGGGCTCCATCGCTTGGACTGACATCAAATGGGGAAAAGTATAGCGGTCCTGGTACTTTACAACCCCCAGCAAGCAACAGAACACAGACAGGAATACAGTGACAACGACATAGCATACCTGGAGCATATCTGGAGCATACCTGGAGCATATCTGGAGAGGGTTCTGGGAGTTGTACTCCCCGAGCCCGGCCTGAGGCCAGACTCGACCTATGAGCCATGCAGAGAGCAGAAACAGCAGCACAAAGAACTGGAACATCTTTTCGCTCATCAAGAACTTTGAGCACGAAAAAGCACTATATATGAGCCAGTGATCATTGTATCCTGGTATTTGACGTTATGATAGAACTTAAAACATTGACCATAAGACAAGGGGGTCAGGAAAATGAGAGTAGACTATATAAAATAAGATTACACAAAAGTCTCTTAAAAGTGTATAATGAGAGGAAGAGCTTGGAGGGAAGAGTGTCCAAGAAATAATGGAACAAGTCAAACTGAGATGCAGTGTAGCAGGAGAGAGATTCATGCCGACAATAAAGGAAAAAAAGGAAAATATGATAACCTGTGGTTCAAAAGACAATGTCAATAAGCAAAAACGAAAAACAGGAGGAAGTAGAAAAAATAAGGTCAAATGACGAGAAGAAACCTGCAATAGATGCAACAGTTATAGGAATGAATACATAAATATAATAAAAGTGTCAGAAAGGAACTATGAAAATTATAGTGTTTTTAAAGCAACAACAACAAAAATTGAGGTAGTAAATAAATAACTAACATCACTATACGAAACTAAAGCTATTGGACCAGAGAAGATATCCCCTTAGATGTTAAAAGCATCAGCACATATCCTCAGTATACCCTTAGCATTGATCTTAAATCATTCCCTCTCAAAGGGCAAACCAAAATAAGGGAGGACAAAGAAGATTGTGCAGATTGCACATTTCTGGACCTCACAAGTGCCCAATAAACTATAGAGTTATAAAGAATAACAATAGAGCCCAGTAGGCTCAGGAACCTGTACACCAGTTGACTGATAGTTTGAGCGGTGCGACACAATAGCCGAAGCTGATCTTCGGCGGAATAGATCGGCCCCTTCTGGGGCCCCAGCAGGTCCTCTCGGGGCCCCAGCTAGGCTTGGACGCCAGGCAGTCCCCCCTCGTACCGCAACCGGTCCCCTGGGGACCTTAGCTAGGCATCCCGGACCCCAGCTGGTCTTACCTGTACTGTCGACCCCAGTCAACCCTCCTGTGGCCCGTCCTGGACCTCAGCCAAACCTTCCAGGACACTCCCAGCCAGCCCTCCCTGGCTCCCCCAGCCAGCAGTCCTGTGACCCCAGCAAGCCCAGGACCCTCGCGCCCTGCAACCATCATCCGAATATTTCTTTGTGCAACGGGAACTGAAGGTCAGAAGCCGTGCGACCAAAGATTTGGAAATTACCGGGAAGGTCACCTGACGGAGGGTGTCCTTGCAGCCCTCCGTCCCTCCCTCCCCAGCGGTCACAACCTACCTTGAAGTGCTTCACTAAACTTCAACTAAAAACTAAACTGCTTCACCTCACTAAACTAAGGTATTAAACTGCCCGAATCTCACCCAGGAACCACGAATAGAAAACGAGGATCAAGTATATTTTACCATGAATTATTCACTCTGATAATTAGTGCATTCTTGGACTGAGGGGATTTATACGTGCAAGACCTTTGAGTGGTTAGGTGACCCCGGGAGCCTTGATCTGCTCTAGAGTGCGAGATATGGCACTTGGCTCGCCCAGACCAGCGTAGACGACCAGACACGCAGTTATCCTCCCAACCCCACACACCACCACACCACCTCAGCACCCAAGTCTGCTCCACCACATCACCTTACCACCAAAGTCTGCTCCCCCACACCACCACAGCTCCCAACCACCATATTGGTGTCATGTCACCACTGTCCACGCGTCGCGTGTATAGGTCATAGGGGGGGAGTGAACTGGTCGTGAGACACTCGTCTGGTAAAACTGTTATCTCCTCCTTGATACACTGCCCGCTGACAGGAGGCATTCTTGGGGCCGCTTTACCACAGGGCGGGTTTTAAAGCGACCTTGTCTGTCTAGACAATTTGCAACGTGATGCAACCCTCAGATCCCGTCTACGGGCAGCCACCGTGGCTACTCCTCGCCCCGACCCGCCCGCCTCGCTCTTGTGATGTGTAGATAGCAGTACCTAATTGGTGGCCGCAACAAGTTCATCATGGCATGTGGAGCGCTTACGACCCCTAGCCACTAGTAAAGCACACTGTACAACACGTGGCTACAAGCCTGACTTGCACTCTCATATGTCGAAGATAACTCTTTCATTCTTATAGCAAACCAATAAAGGAGAGGAGGATGCAGAATTTTTAGAATCACTTTGTGATATAACAAGTTAATTTATATATGTATTTGTATACATGAATATTTTTTTTATATAGAAAGGGGTACCACCTCTTGTGCAAGTGTAGGGACCCATAGCCTTGGAGTAGAAAATGAAGAGTACTCAGAAAAGACCTTGTGGATCCTCACTCAACACTTTGATATTGTCTTCTCCTACAACCCCTCTTCTTTTAGGGGTGATATATATATATATATATATATATATATATATATATATATATATATATATATATATATATATCACTTCCTTATGCTGGGTCGTGAAGGAGGCCGGCCTCAGGTGAAAGATGGCTGTGACGATCTCTGTCAGGAACCCGTAGGTGCGGGACCGGGACGTCCACCTCCTGGGGCTCGTGCGGCCCCCCAGGCTCTGCTTCAGGAGGCTGGGGTCGTTCTTGTCCTTGATGGGGTGGTTCTTCTCCCGCCCCGACCACGGCGGTCTCCGGGTCTGGAGTCCCTATGCCTTCTTTCACCAACTTCGAGGTCAACTCCGGAGCTCACAGTTCCAGCGACGGCGCTGGAACCAATCGTATTGGCGTTTGCCATTCCATTAGAGACTTCCGGCGCCGTGTAGAGGGGGTAACCTGCTGCTTGGGTAACAGCTTCACCTCCGTATCAACCTACCCTGGCTTTGCGCCCTGGGAAGGTCACTCCAGAGCGCAACTCCATAGTCTTCTGAGACTGATGGATGCCTACTACTATGTATTATTAACACTTGTGTAACTAGCTTCAAAAGATTGTCACTTGCTTAACTAAACGAACTCTGTAGCCCTTTTCACCACCGCCCACGGGATGGGTATAGGGAGCATAATAATTCAATTCAATGAAAAACTAGTGGTAGTGAGGCGAACAGGTTTGTTAAGATGCATCGTCCTTACGATTAGCTGTGTCCTTACAACTAGCCTCGTCCTTTTGACTAGTCACATCTTTACGACTAGCTGCGTCCTTACGACTAGTCACGTCTTTATGATTAGTCGCGTCCTTACGATTAGCTGTGTCCTTACGACTAGCCGCGTCCTTACAACTAGTCACGTCCTTACGACTAGTTGCGTCCTTACGATTAGTTGCGTCCTTACGACTAGTCGCGTCCTTACGACTAGTCGCGTCCTTACGACTAGTTGCATCCTTACGACTAGTCGCATCCTTACAACTAGTCGCGTCCTTACGACTAGTCGCGTCCTTACGACTAGCCGCGTCCTTATGACTAGTCGCGTCCTTACGACTAGTCGAGTCCTTACGACTAGCCGCGTCCTTACGACTAGCCGCGTCCTTACGACTAGTCGCGTCCTTACGATTAGTTGCGTCCTTACGACTAGTCGCGTCCTTACGACTAGTCGCGTCCTTACGACTAGCCGCGTCCTTACGACTAGTCGCGTCCTTACGACTAGTCGCGTCCTTACGACTAGTCGCGTCCTTACGACTAGTCGCGTCCTTACGACTAGTCGCGTCCTTACGACTAGCCGTGTCCTTACGACTAGTCGCGTCCTTACGAGTAGTCGCGTCCTTATGACTAGTCGCGTCCTTACGACTAGCCGCGTCCTTACGACTAGCCGCGTCCTTATGACTAGTCGAGTCGTTACGACTAGTCGAGTCCTTATGACTAGCCGCGTCCTTACGACTAGCCGCGTCCTTACGACTAGTCTCGTCCTTACGACTAGTCGCGTCCTTACGACTAGCCGCGTCCTTACGACTAGTCGCGTCCTTACGACTAGTTGCGTCCTTACAACTAGCCGTGTCCTCACGACTAGCCGCGTCCTCACGACTAGCCGCGTCCTCACGAATAGTCGCATCCTTATGATCAATTCTTTAAGGTCTACGTACAAGAAACTCCCGAGAGAAAAGAGAAATCATTTAAACAGTTCAACGAACCACTGTAGACGGAGCCTTAATGACCGCTTCGTGTTGACCTGCCGCAAGACTCCATCTTGCCGCCGGACATCAAACACGGGAACATTGTCCAACACCCCCATTACTCTCGAGCAGTTCCTGGACGAATGCCTGTGCACTTTCGTTATTCCGTTCGTACCACGCGCTCCCCCTCTCAACCATCCTCTTACCGAATACTGACAGAAACAGTTTCCTTGAACGGAACTTTTATGATAATGTTCCAGGAGGCGGAAGGGGAGGGGATGGAGGTGAAGAGCAAGAGTTCTGAATGGACTTGAGGTAGACGGCTTGGAGTGGGTGGTGGGTTGGGGGCGTTACTGTGAACTTTGGGAGACGCCGGTCGGCTGCCTTCAGGGCCCCCGCTGGTGCTCGTGTCCTTGGCTTGGGGGGATCCCCAGGTGGTGTCTCTTGCCGTGCGTTGGGGCCTCTTGCTGTCCGTTGGGGCCCTCTTGCCGTCAGTTGGGACCTCTTGCTGTCCGTTGGGACCTCTTGCTGTTCGTTGGGACCTCTTGCTGTCCGTTGGGGCCCTCTTGCCGTCAGTTGGGACCTCTTGCTGTTCGTTGGGACCTCTTGCTGTTCGTTGGGGCCCCTCTTGCTGTCCGTTGGTGTCTCTTAATTGCTGTCTGTTGGGGCCTCTTGCTGTCCGTTGGTGTCTCTTGCTGTCCGTTGGGGCCTCTTGCTGTCTGTTGGTGCCTCTTGCTGTCTGTTGGTGTCTCTTGCTGTCCGTTGGGGCCTCTCTTGCTGTCCGTTGGGGCCTCTCGCTGTCCGTTGGGGCCTCTTGCTGTCCGTTGGTGTCTCTTGCTGTCCGTTGGTGTCTCTTGCTGTCCGTTGGGGCCTCTCTTGCTGTCCGTTGGGGCCTCTCTTGCTGTCCGTTGGGGCCTCTTGCTGTCCGTTGGGGCCTCTAGCTGTCCGTTGGGGCCTCTTGCTGTCCGTTGGGGCCTCTCTTGCTGTCCGTTGGGGCCTCTCTTGCTGTCCGTTGGGGCCTCTCTTGCTGTCCGTTGGGGCCTCTCTTGCTGTCCGTTGGGGCCCCTCTTGCTGTCCGTTGGGGCCTCTCTTGCTGTCCGTTGGTGCCTCTTGCTGTCCGTTGGTGCCTCTTGCTGTCCGTTGGGGCCTCTCTTGCTGTCCGTTGGGGCCTCTCTTGCTGTCCGTTGGGGCCTCTCTTGCTGTCCGTTGGGGCCTCTCTTGCTGTCCGTTGGTGTCTCTTGCTGTCCGTTGGGGCCTCTTGCTGTCCGTTGGTGTCTCTTGCTGTCCGTTGGGGCCTCTTGCTGTCCGTTGGGGCCTCTCTTGCTGTCCGTTGGGGCCTCTCTTGCTGTCCGTTGGGGCCTCTCTTGCTGTCCGTTGGGGCCTCTCTTGCTGTCCGTTGGGGCCTCTGTTGCTGTCCGTTGGGGCCTCTTGCTGTCCGTTGGGGCCTCTTGCTGTCCGTTGGGGCCTCTTGCTGTCCGTTGGGGCCTCTCTTGCTGTCCGTTGGGGCCCCTCTTGCTGTCCGTTGGGGCCTCTCTTGCTGTCCGTTGGGGCCTCTCTTGCTGTCCGTTGGTGTCTCTTGCTGTCCGTTGGTGTCTCTTGCTGTCCGTTGGGGCCTCTTGCTGTCCGTTGGGGCCTCTTGCTGTCCGTTGGGGCCTCTTGCTGTCCGTTGGGGCCTCTTGCTGTCCGTTGGGGCCTCTCTTGCTGTCCGTTGGGGCCTCTCTTGCTGTCCGTTGGGGCCTCTCTTGCTGTCCGTTGGTGTCTCTTGCTGTCCGTTGGGGCCTCTTGCTGTCCGTTGGGGCCTCTTGCTGTCCGTTGGGGCCTCTTGCTGTCCGTTGGGGCCTCTTGCTGTCCGTTGGGGCCTCTTGCTGTCCGTTGGGGCCTCTCTTGCTGTCCGTTGGGGCCTCTTTTGCTGTCCGTTGGGGCCTCTCTTGCTGTCCGTTGGGGCCTCTCTTGCTGTCCGTTGGTGCTTCTTGCTGTCCGTTGGTGTCTTGCTGTCCGTTGGGGCCTCTTGCTGTCCGTTGGGGCCTCTTGCTGTCCGTTGGGGCCTCTTGCTGTCCGTTGGGGCCTCTTGCTGTCCGTTGGGGCCTCTCTTGCTGTCCGTTGGGGCCTCTCTTGCTGTCCGTTGGGGCCTCTTGCTGTCCGTTGGGGCCTCTCTTGCTGTCCGTTGGGGCCTCTTGCTGTCCGTTGGGGCCTCTCTTGCTGTCCGTTGGGGCCTCTCTTGCTGTCCGTTGGGGCCTCTCTTGCTGTCCGTTGGTGCCTCTTGCTGTCCGTTGGTGCCTCTTGCTGTCCGTTGGTGCCTCTTGCTGTCCGTTGGTGCCTCTTGCTGTCCGTTGGTGCCTCTTGCTGTCCGTTGGTGCCTCTTGCTGTCCGTTGGGGCCTCTCTTGCTGTCCGTTGGGGCCTCTCTTGCTGTCCGTTGGGGCCTCTCTTGCTGTCCGTTGGGGCCTCTCTTGCTGTCCGTTGGGGCCTCTCTTGCTGTCCGTTATTGTCTCTTGCTGTCCGTTGGTGCCTCTTGCTGTCCGTTGGTGCCTCTTGCTGTCCGTTGGTGCCTCTTGCTGTCCGTTGGGGCCTCTCTTGCTGTCCGTTGGTGCCTCTTGCTGTCCGTTGGGGCCTCTCTTGCTGTCCGTTGGGGCCTCTCTTGCTGTCCGTTGGTGTCTCTTGCTGTCCGTTGGGGCCTCTTGCTGTCCGTTGGGGCCTCTTGCTGTCCGTTGGGGCCTCTTGCTGTCCGTTGGGGCCTCTTGCTGTCCGTTGGGGCCTCTCTTGCTGTCCGTTGGGGCCTCTCTTGCTGTCCGTTGGTGTCTCTTGCTGTCCGTTGGGGCCTCTTGCTGTCCGTTGGGGCCTCTTGCTGTCCGTTGGGGCCTCTTGCTGTCCGTTGGGGCCTCTTGCTGTCCGTTGGTGCTTCTTGCTGTCCGTTGGTGCTTCTTGCTGTCCGTTGGGGCCTCTTGCTGTCCGTTGGGGCCTCTTGCTGTCCGTTGGTGCTTCTTGCTGTCCGTTGGGGCCTCTCTTGCTGTCCGTTGGGGCCTCTTGCTGTCCGTTGGTGCTTCTTGCTGTCCGTTGGGGCCTCTTGCTGTCCGTTGGGGCCTCTTGCTGTCCGTTGGGGCCTCTTGCTGTCCGTTGGTGCTTCTTGCTGTCCGTTGGGGCCTCTTGCTGTCCGTTGGGGCCTCTCTTGCTGTCCGTTGGGGCCTCTCTTGCTGTCCGTTGGGGCCTCACTTTTGGTTCCAAAAAAAAACGCACTGTTGTCGCACTCGGCGCCTCCATTTGCCTAAACGCGTTGACACTATGAACCAACGTTCTCAATCGCTACGGTGTATCGACATGATTGATTGATGATAAGATTAAGGCACCCAAGAGGTGGCACGGGCATGAATAGCCCGTAAGTATATCGATATTTCAAGTTACAACTTGTAAACGCGTACATACGTGGGGGGTGAGGGAGATGGAGGGGGAGATGGTGTTTATGTTAGCGAGGTTACTGTGTCCACGTTCTCTTTCTTTGACATGATGGAGACCAAGATGGTGTGACCTTGGCTATATACTCTGCATCCTTGGCCATACATGCACTTGTAACACGGGGGGGGGGGGGAGAGGGGTGTATGTGTCCCACAGGGTGATGGGGGGTATACTTATAACACAGGGTGATGAGGAGTATATTTGTAATATAGGGTGATGGAGCAACATCATTTACTCTTTAGGCTTATATCGAAGTCCCCCAGCCCCCCCCCCACCCCAAGGCCGGACTAGAGAGCCTCCCCGCGATGCAACCCTCACAACAGTTGCAATAACAGGCAACAACAACAGCTGCCTAATTCCCCGGGTACCTATTTACTGCTAGGTGAACAGAGGCATTAGTTGAAATGAAACGTGCCCGACCATTTCCGTCCCGTCTGGGAATGGGTCCCGGGATCCCTGGTTGTGGGTGGAGAAGGAGAGCATTGTGAGAATTTCTGTGAGAGGGAAAATAGGTGAACATCAAGACTAAGAGTGAAGTGTGTGGTTAACATTACCAGGCGGGGGCCAGATTCACGAAGCAGTTGCGCAAGTACTTACCAACGTGTACATCTTTCCTCAATCTTTGACGGCTTTATTTACATTTATTAAACGGTTTACAAGCATGAAACAGTGGCCATTCCACTGTTGGTATTGTTATAAACAGCCTCCTGGTGCTTCGGAGCTCATTAACTGTTTAATAATTGTAAACAAAGCCGCCAAAGATTGAGAAAAGATGGACAGCTTCGTAAGTGCTTGCGTAACTGCTTCGTGAATCTGGCCCCAGGTCACCTGTGGGTTAAGAAAACCTGTTTTGGTCATGTTGTACATTGAACATTATAGTGAGTAAATTTATCATAGCAGTTCTTCATTATTTACGTAATGCGAGGTAAGCTTTGGGTAATTGGACGGATTTGTCCCCCCCTAGCTACTGTCTAATTGCCATTTGTTTCTGTCTCGGCCGGGAGTCGAACTTGGACCTTTAGGACTACAAGCCCTAAGCATCAATAGATAATGCACGACGCTCCATCAGGTCCCTGGTTACCTCGTGTCCTCATTGTTGACTGTTACATAATTGATGGTGTTCATATATCATGTATTCCCATTCCCATCCCGTGTGTGGTGGTGTAGTGACTACCATGGCAATGCTTATCTTTACCCGTTTATAAGTATCGGTAATAATTCCCCTTACCATCAATATACACCACGAAACGCAGCTACGTTCACACACAGAGATCACACTAACGTGATGCATCAAATGAACAAATCCACAAGGGCCGTGACGAAGATTCGAACCTGCGTCCGAGAGCATCCCAGACACTGCCTTAATCGACTGAGCTACGACAGGGTTAAAAGGGTTGAAACCGAAGTTCTTCTGAACTACTACAGCTAAGTTCTGCCACTGAGTTGATAATTACTTTTTTAGATATTAATCACTTATAGACTCACTGAATAACGCCAAAGACCGATTAAGCTTACGATCACATGTGCTCAAATAAATGACAATCGCAAACGAAATAACAAATTAAAATATTACAAATTAATTTATTTATAAAAAAAAATCAATTATTCCCTCCTCTAAAATAGCCAAGGTGACAATGGGTTGAATTACAGCAGAATGACTGCAGACAATCACCTTCAACTGCTGTTGTCCTCGGCCAGTGTGAGGGTCACTGGTCTTGTCTGACGGAGCCCCATTCACTGCCCAACAGGCACTAAACATCACTTCCTCTTGTTGCTGTTTTAGATTCAGCTATTGGGAACAAAAAGTTGTAGGCAGCACGGGCTATGGTGAGCCCGTGGTGGACTTACCGGGCACAGGAGCGGGGCTGTAACTAATGGTGCTTCACTTCCTGTAAGCCAAGTTCATATACGGGAAGCTGGGAAGTGGGTGATGAGGGGAGGGAGGTTTGTTTACTCTTGTAAGTATCATTGGTTATCGGTCGACAAGTTGTTTAAAAAGTGACTTGTACCATCTGCACTCCACCGACCATCTGCTCGTCCTTATCTACAACGTCTTACACATTCCAGACGACACGACAACACCTCAGAGAACTTCGTCCCATTCATCTATGTACACTTGAGAAAGGTAGATGAACACTCCCATATTCACATGCAGGCGATGAGTCACAGTAACGTGGCTGAAGTATGTTGACCAGACCACACACTAGAAAATAAAGGGACGACGACGTTTCGGTCCGTCCTGGACCATTCTCAAGTCGATTGTGTGAATCGACTTCAATCGACGTGAATCGACACACAATCGACTTGAGAATGGTCCAGGACGGACCGA